TCTAATCCCATTATCTTGCTCACTTAATGTTCATATACGATAAATAAAGCAACGGTAAACAGATATAAGAATGTTTTGTTCTAGCTAACATAACTTCTTTCTAAAAACGAAAAGTAACATGCAACTTTGAAATCATTTCTAAAATAGCGGGTGCACTGTTCTATGAAATGGCAATACTGTACGATCTTTATGAGCAGTCGCCAAGAGCACAGTCGGTCGGCGGCGAATATTGACAATTCCAGCCGCGGCTGCATCAAAGCGAATGAGCCGAAAAACTGCATAAGGTTAAGCCGAACAGGGTTTTAAAACAGTTAGATTATAATTACAAACTGAACAAAAATCGGTCGATATCGGTTAAGAAATGCCTCTAATATAAAATAATTAAATATTGTTAATTTAAATGGCCGCGCAAACGCTCTCTACCGCGCCTTGCCGCCGTGACGTCACCCGCCGTTCTTCTGGTTGAGTGGAGCCAGACGCGTGTTTATTTTACACAGTTTGCTTTTTAAACGCTGTTGAATCCGAGTCAAAATTTTAGTTATTTGTGTTAATTAATACATAATTAGTAATTAGTGATATTTATAAATAGTAATGGATAAGCGAAAACAGAAAAAAATGGTCCAAGACCATGAGAAGAGATGAAAAGAAAAACGTTAAATTATCCTCTATTTTTACGATTTATTGTTGTGAAGATCATTTTGATGTAAGTTCATATATTTATGTATATTGTCTTACATATGTATCTGAAATTTGAATGTACAGGGTTATTCATTATATTTTGACACCCACATACAGCCTTAACTGCAAGTTAAGGCTACATTAAAACATTAAATAAAAAAAGTTGCATGGTTTTTCATATACTCTCTTTTAAAATTAATTCTAGTTATACAGGGTGTGTCAAAAAAAGGTGGTCCAGAAAATTGTAGGTATTTTTCGCTTTTCATCTGTCAATATTTCGTAAACATTTGAAGATAGGTATAGGATATTATACATGAAATAATCTTTAAAAATCAAAGGGTAAGGGGGTGTAAATATATAAAAACAACTTTCTTTTTTACGCTATGCTCTGGAGTTATTTTTCCACGTACTAAACAAATATTTTTGTCTCTTTTCACTTCTACATAACCTACAGCATTATCTCTATACGTCTCCCTACCTGATCCCCCTACCTGATACTTATACTCCCTACCTGATACTTATACTTAAATATGCCTCAGTACTACAAAGAATAAATGTTACATACCTCTCTAATAAATTGGGAATTTGTATTTATAAAAGCAGCCAACATAAAAGCATCGACTTTTGGCAAGTTATCTGATTGTGCTTTTACAAACCCGGAATCTGCCATTACTAAAAAAATTCTCAGAACACACAACACATACAAATTAATAACTGTACAAAAAAGCATAAAAAGCTCCTTAAATCAACGCTAAAAGCAACAAAAAGATCTTAGTACGCCACCTAAATACGTACATAAACGGAACACGTCTGGCTGCTGCTGGCCATCGCGCGTCGACGAGAACGGCGGGTGACGTCAGACCAATAGAATATCGTTTCAATTCGCGAGGCGTTATCCATAGTATTTTAATGGCCCGTTTTATAAAATTGTGGTACTGCTTCAAGAAAATGTTTTTTTTTGCATTTACACATATCTATTCTAATAAATTGGAGAGTTTCTGGCGAAAAATAAAATATATGCAACTTCCTCATTTAGGCAGCGACTTTAGTGGATGATGCTACCTATAAAAAAGATATTTCTCGAACTAGAAAAAGAAAAGTATTTTTCGACGAAATAAAAGAAAATGAAGTTGAAAGACGAATTAAACGCTATAAAAAGCAATATCGATGACATAACATTTGAAGTGTCTGTCAATATCTTGAAAAAGTACCTATAAGTCGGATGTAGAAGGAGATGTATTAAATGATGAAATGGCTCATTTTACTCAATATGAAAAAAGAAAATGACTGAAAAATTTGAACTCGTGCAGTCACTAAAATCAACTTTCCCTAATGTGCTTACGTTGCTTGAAATTTGTTTTTACTATACCAGTTTCTAATGCTAGCGGGGAACGCTCATTTTCTGCGTTAAAGGATCAAAACTTATTTGATATCCACCATTAGCGAAGAAAGGCTCGATGCTCTTTCTCTGATCCACATAGAAGGATCAAACATTGAAAAAATTAGATTGCAATTTAATAATTGACCAGTTTGCAAAAGAAAAATGTAGAAATAAACACATTTGATCCGATGTCCCAAATTTTTATTTGGTTTACTTATTAAGTTATTTCTTTTATATTCTGTTCAAAAATTATTATAAATGTTTTATTTTTTGCGTTAAATGTTGTTTAATATTACTAAAATGTTTAATAAAATACATTATGTTCGTTGAAACTTTTTTTACGTAGATAATTTAGTAAATTGTACAACACACAACACACTACATACCTATATAACCATAATCATTAATCATTATGTATAACAAACGTAGGATAGGGGCCCGAAAAAAAAATTTAAAATCCTCCAGCCCTTAGCTTATGCCATCGACATATTACATAGTGATCAAAACACATCACCACTTTTTAATAGACATGTATTTGATGACATCTAAACTGTAGTGGATACATACAGGGTCCGACAATAGTGCGTCGCGCACCTGTAGCTCCTAGAGTAAAAAACTTGTGAATTTTGTTAAGTGCAAAACTAAAGTATGTCCTAGGATGTATTTCAGAAAAATATTTTAACTTCTATAGGGTGGCTCAAAAAAGTGTGAGCGGCTCTGATTGCTATTACATACCGGGTGCGTCTCGAAAGTAGCTCACCCCTATAACTCTTTAATTATTTCAGTTAAAACAACGAGATTTGGTATGTTAGTATTTGACATAAATATTCAATTGTTTTCGGTCACTTACGGTTTCACCGGAAATGAGTATGGAAATGAGTATTAATTTCCGGTGAAACCGGAAGTGACCGAAAACAATTGAATACGTCAATCAATCCTAATTTATGTTTTATACTAACACACCAAATCTCGTTTTTTTATCTGAAAAAAATAAAAAAGTTATAGGGGTGAGCCACCCCATACAGCACATCAAATCACATTTACGATGTGTTTACATTATTAGATGTAGACACAGGGTGACACAATTCCCCCGATGTAAATATGCTACGTTTACACACTGTAGTTCAACACGTATGCACAAAGGTTAAACGTCCGCCTCACAATGTAGCCACAGTATAGCATTTACGTATACACAAAGTAAGGGATACACAGTGTGCCGTAGGATACACAGTGCTTGTGTATTACGTTTAATTACGCTTGTGTGTTACGTTCTTTATATCATGAAACGCAATAGCGCAAATAACACAATAATAATAATTATTTACACTGCAGAAACCAGAACTAAGAAAACACTGTAAAAGAACAGAATTTGTATCAAAATGTATTAAAAATATAAGTACCTAGTATAACAACATACTAAAATGGTAAACACTGGTATATCGCCACGATTTGGTGGACCTCGTTTAGTCATTTTTTCTCCTCTTTTCCCTCCAAGCGGTTGGTTTGTTAGCATACTCATTCAACGAGCACTCTGTTGGACTTTGTTGTATTTTATTTCCAGATTAACAATCTCACCCTTAAATTTTATATGAAACTGATTATTGAATATTAAACATATCTGTATATTGATCCATCAATAACTTACCGAATATCAGTGTAAGAAGTTCTTTGAAGTGTTTAAATCTTTCTTTCTCTGGTCCATTTAGATTTTTATTATTTCCAAATTAAAAAAAAATTATATTGCAGAGCTAACCTCTTTATCATTATACGAGAATATTTGGAGTTTTCATTCATTGGTGTCAAAATTTGGTAAATTAGGTATCGAGTAAGGGAAGAGTCGCTGCTATAATACCGTATGATCGAGAAAAACGGCGTCAGCGATGGCTATGGAATGAAGATCGCTGTCATTTTATATGTAAATTTATATGAGAAATGTCATCGATGTTCATTTCCCAGCCAACTGGACGCCGTTTTTTTTCGATCATACGGTATTAATAATACTTTTAGGAAGGTGTAACAAGGCAATTAAAAACTTGTGCTTACCTTACAATCTCTTTTAAACTACACACAAACAGAACATTTATATAGAGCTTCCTAATGATAAAACAATAATGGCTGCTAACACATACCACTCCTAGAAAGGAGGAAGGAGAGAGGACACATAAGATACACTTGGTCGGTGTATCTACGCTGAGGCTATCCGCGCGTGCGCACACCTTCATTTCATGCTAGAATGTAGACACAACAGTACACTATTACAAAGTGTCTATATAGATATTTATATTATATGTATACGTCACATTTTTACAATGTGTGTACTATAGGCACAACTATGATACGAAGTATCACACATACATATGACTTATACATTGTATGTCTCATATACCGACGTCAGATTTCATCATTTTAATAATTATTTGTTACGTTACAAAAAACTCTTTAGAATCTTAAGTGCATACGGTATACAACTAGTAAACACTGTATCACACAATTCTATCAATATAAACCTGCGTGTATCTCATATGTATATGTTAGAACTAGATGAACACTTAGGTTCACTTTAGCATATTTTGTTTCTCATGTGTCTCCCTTGTAGAAACGTAATTTCATTTGGACGTGCTGTATGGGACTTTAGAGACGCACCCGGTATATTTTGCAAACCAATTTTTTTGGATACCCAATGAATCAATTCTCACGACTCTTTGAACGAACGAACCGTAGAAATGAACGAGTCGCATTGTGATCCGGTTCAATTTTTACGACTCGTTCGTTCAAATATTATGGATCCGTGCTGGCCACGATTCAATTGAACAAACCAGGTTGCAAGCAATGAATCGAATCTCACGATTCATTTTTAATACTCGTTCAAATAAAGGACTCGGTCAATATTTGCCTACCTCCGCTACTGTACTGGACTTGGTATATAAATAAAACAAATACAAAGAGAAAAAAATAGTATCTATATTTCTCGAACTATATAGATTGGTCTTATTAGAAAAAATTGACAATGACAAAGGAATGTGCATTTCCTTAACACTAAATAAAGAATTTCTTTAAAAAACATAATTGACAATCTTATAAAAAATATCAAGAACGTAAAAAATAACATTAAATATCCTTTTTTATCAAAATAAACAATTCTGGAATGCAATATAACTGGAAGCCACTAGAATAGAGTATATTATTTAATAACTACCACAATTATTCGAAGGCACATTATATACGAGAGAAAAATAAATAATTAATAAAAAAAATATACAGAAACTTTATTTCTATCAAAAAAACAGTCCTATACTTTTAGAGAGACTTTTAAAATGTACAGTACATACTCTAATTATACCTCTTTCATCTAATATAACTTTCGATATACCTGTTTTATAAAATACTTAAGTTTATATAAATATTATAACTCTTAAAATTATCTTCAGTTGATTTTACAGAAGAAAAACTATAATACTTCTTTTTTTTTCGTTATTTTATAACCCCCTGTGGTTGGTTCTAGAATAAAAGAAAATCTACTATTGATGACGTAGGTAGAGTTTATAGTTGTTTCAACTATATATTTTTTTACGTAATTGAAATTAAGTGTCCAAAACAAGTATTATATCTCTTCTGAGTTCAGTTTCGTTGTTTTTACATGTGTCTGGTGTTACCAAAGTTGATGCCTGATTGGTTAGCTCCCTTGTTTGAGCCCATTTGGAGCCCAATGATGGTCTGACCTGCTTTCAGCTTTTCTTCTGAAAAAACTCTTTCGTTTTTCTCTGCTTCTTTAGGTCCAATGCTTGGTTTTCCAAATTGTCCAGCCTATATTAAACGAAATAGTATCATGTAAGAATGGTTCTCCTAAATACCACATCAGAAATACTTTTATATTAATAATTTCATGCAGCAGTATCAGGTCAGAGAACTTAGAATACTATACGAGGTGCGATTCAAAAGTGGCTCACCCTTATAACTTTTTTACTTTTTCAGATAAAAAAAAACGAGATTTGGTATGTTAGTATATGACATAAATTAGGATTGCTTGACGTATTCAATTATGTTCGGTCACTTCCTGTTTCACCGGAAATTACTGCAACTTTTGATTTTTAAATGACACCCTCGGTCTTTTTTTACTTTATTCGATAGAAAATGACACTCTGAATAGAATGATATATCATATTCAACTTTTGACATTTTCGCATATTGTTTATTTGAAATTATTGTAACATGCGGTTCATAACGACAATTTGACTCGAAATATCAAGTGTTTGGTACCAAATTATTCGTAAAAAATGCTTTTTCCAAATGTGCTAATGAGCCACCCTTGTTCCATTTGAAAAAATTGAGATATGATTAAAAATACGATTTAGGCATCTTTAAACCGGCCAGGACAAGACACTAAAAACATTAGACGATCAAATCTATTTTTCCAACACTACTTGATTAAAAATTAGTGTTTTTAAGACAGCCTTGGCACACGAGATTGAAATTTAAAATTCAATTTTGTTTTAAGCGAAAACGTCAAAAATTGACATATGATGTCATTCTATTCAGCGTGTCATTTTCTGTCGAATAAAGTAAAAAAATACCGAGGGTGCCATTTAAATATCAAAAATTGTAGTCATTTCCGGTGAAACAGGAAGTGGCCGAAAAATCAATCCTAATTTATGTCATATACTAACATAACAAATCCCGTTTTTTATCTGAAAAAATAAAAGTTATAGAGATGAGCCACTTTTGAGACGCTCCCGGTATAGGAAATTTTCATATATTAGTACTTACCAGAAAAAATCATGCAAATTCATCAAGCTAGCCATAGAGATGGACTGAGCTACAAGAAATCTTTTTTTAATGAACTCATGCAAGGTATAATGATCTGGATGGTTAAATTACAAAGCACAATGCGAGAGAAAACATATAAAATAAAATTGCACCTTTAGAAATATCAAAAAAGTTAGTATATTTATTTTTAAGAAGTTAGTTTTAAAATTATACAAGCATTCTTAAAATTCTACTACCCCCAAGTACCTACATAAAAATTTTCATGCAATAGAACCTATTAGTGTGATGAACATGCAATGATTATGCAACCAAAAATACGCGGAGTCCTATGGAAATCAATATACAGGGAGTGACTTCAAAATATAGCCTCTATGTATTCTTCATAGAGTTATAACTTAAAGTTATATATTCTGTCATTTATCACTAAACTATTAAAAAAGATTGTCAACACCCTGTACATTGCTTTACAGAATTAATTCTTGTGCTGACTTTTAAGCCAAAGAAATAAACTTTACTGAAAATTTTGATTGCTTCGTTTAATGTATACAGGGGTATCAAAAACTGCTGGTCTATTTTAAATGGTTATTTTATATAAAAACTTCGCTATTTCAAATACAACACCCTGTTTTTTTTAAATAAATCGAAGTAGATTTAAATGCTCTTTCAAACTATACTAGGGTTTTCTATACCTATCGAGCACAGATTTTGAATAAAGAGCAATTTTTCAATAAAATGGCAACTAAGAGGGCTAGTGTCGTCATGGCAAGTTTCTAGTGACAGTTAGTATAGTCAAAGCTTTGAATAAGAAGTCTTCTTATTCAAAGAGCCAAAGGTATAGTAAACGCCACGAATGTTTGGGAGTGATTCATCGGTCGCTACCATGTGAACTAATCTGTTCAAGGTCACATAAAATTTAATTCCAGTGCCGTGGTGTTTCAGGTCATATAATAATCAATGTATAATCTGTTGTAATTTGTTGTTTTAACTGTCAAAGTTTTGTCAAAACCTTTGAATAAGAAGACTAAGGAAGGAGCATAATGCTATCCATGTATTCATGCATGGTGGGCGGAAAAGTCACCATAAAAGCTCTCTAGGGTGGGGATCCTTGACAGTACTGTTTGACGATTCATTTGACACATTTGAATTTGATTTGAAATTTTGTGGATTTGTCAGTCTTTACGGAGCTTATTTTATGTTATTTATTATTTATTCTACTACTGATAGTTGTATAAAGGTAGTAAATCTAGATGGAAATTGTGGCAGAACTTAAATTAACAGTGACACTATCGCGATTTATCGAAAAAGACTCTAAAATAGTTGGTTGTGTCGCGTGCGGTAGATCTCGGCAAAAATTGAGTGAAATAATGGAACAACTTTTCGCTAGTAAGTGACTATATAATATACATACGTGTAGTAAACCGATAATTTATGAAATTCACTTAATAATAATTCACAAATTAACTAAATTATATATTTTTCTTGCATTTTAGCTTTTATTTATTACTTGTCAAAGATTAGATGTCAAAGAATTTAGATACGTTAATTTGACTTACCTGCTTCAGTAGCGTATCGGATGTTTGTGTTAATAAATACTTATTATAACTTATCTATTTTTATTAGAATTATATATTTTTATAACAATTTTAATAATTACCAACATTTATTCACAACGTAAAATAAAACAACAAATTATTGAGTCTACCCCACGTCTACCCTACATCAGAGTTTTACATTTTTTAAATAAAATTAGAACGACACTGATAAACCGGAATTTAAGTCGGCCATATTTGAGGCCCATCGCGGTGTACCTAAGATTTTTGATATGCTCCTTCCTTAGTCTTCTTATTCAAAGGTCAAAACATATATTTGGTTATAAGTATAAACTGGAATGCCCCATTGTTCGCACTGCAAGCACACCAATGGACTGACGCACAAAAACGAATCAATCAAAGAAACGCGATATAGTATCGTCTTTGTCAATCACGCTAACATTTTAGAATAAGTAGGAGGAGCGCAGGCAGATGATTAGACCGGGCCTTTAATAACCTACGTCTGCGGTTAAAACTTAGGTTTTTAATGTAAAAATAATAGCGCGCGTTTCGATTCTAACTTCATCAAGCGATGAATCACTCCCAAACATTCGTGGCCTTTACTATTGCAAATTTCAAAATCAAAATTAGTTTATGGGCTTATTTAAATTTATACCCAGTTTACTTTTATTTAATTTACCTACAATAGTTTAATAAAAAAAATTAAATATGTATTTATTATTCTATCAAGAAAAACGAAGAAGTAGTTTTTTGATTTATTTTACGATGACTTGTAGATATATGGATTTTCTATAAAAGAGCTCATTTTCTTCACTTCCAACGACAGGTTTCTGCCTAATAGTTTTTTTATAAGCCATACTACCAGCTCTGCGAAATAGGGCAAGTAATTTTTCAAATGAACGCTCATCAGAAAGATTCCTATTTGGATATCTTTGAGCATAAGCCCTTGAGGCCAAAAAGTAATTTTCCTCACAAAATAAAATCACTAGTAACGTATCCATTCGTTCGGCTAGCCGATACTGCTTTATTTTTCTTGATAAAATCTTCAATACTTACTTATTAAACTATTGTAGGTAAATTTAAGTAAACCGGGTGATCTTAGTTCTGGAACACCCTGTATATTTCAAAATAATTTTAAATTGTGCACATTGCCTCCCCATATATACCCATGAAATATTTTGTTTCTACATCGTTCCGTTTTCGTATAAGATTAATATACCGAGGCGAATGAGGTGCGTCACCCTGTATACGATTGTAATATTGACGAATTTATGAATGGCATATAAATAGTCTGCATATTGAATAAGCTGTGCATGAAACATCACACTAATGGATCTTTTTAAAATAGAAAATACACCAAAATCAAAACTCAACCACAACATCATTCTTGTGGACTAACTTTTCTGCCCAAACTCTGCAAACAAATAACAACAGAATTGAGGTTTTGTCGTTCCCAGAGGTCTACGGTTTGGAATGTTTCTTGAGCCGGTACTCCCAATTGCCTGGCGGCATCCAAGAAGGCGTTGATGTTCTCCATACACTTGAAGGCCATCTGACTGTTGTTCACTTTTTTGACGATGCCGCTTTGGATAGCATTGACTAATCTGTAAAAGAAAAACGGCTGTTTAAGGAGATATACAGGGTGGTCCGAACTGTATTCCGGAAACTTCGGCAGCATATTCAGCAGATAGAAATAAATTAAAAACTTCGTATAAATGTATGTCCTAAAATGCTTAGTTTCGGAGATACAGGGTACAGAAGTTTCATTTTTATTTCGATTTTTTCCAAATAATTTATGAAGTAACATCAATATTTGGATGAAAATTGGTGTCTGGGAGTTTGTACAAGCATGCATAATTTACCGTAGCCGCCCCATGGAACACACGGTACATGCATGCTTGAACAAGCTTCAGTTTATGCCGCGAAAAAGAAGAAGGAAGTCCGAAGAAAAAGAAGAAGAAAGTCCGCGAAAAAGAAAAAGGAACCCTGAAGGCATTATACACACCGGAAAAGTCTAGGGATATTACAATTTTATCCAGCCATCGTCAGTAATTTTATTATTTGCATTTCTGATATAATAAAATTAAAATAAACAAATAGTTTACAGGACGTATTGGAAATAAAAATGCGAAATTTACCGAATTTTTCAAATTTATCTTGATTTTTATTGAACTCAAAAAATACACACATTTTTTTTTATTCTAAACTGTGAATTAAAAAAAAAGATAAAACTATTTTTACTTAATAAAGGGTATAGCCTCCTCTACTGTTCAATACAGCCCTACATCGTCTCTCCATGCTCCTGATCAGGTTGTCGATCTCTTCTTGAGGTACAGCCTGCCACGCTGCATTCACGGCCCGAACCCGATCCCTACGAGTTTCGCGAGGCATGTCCATTCTCAAAATCCTCCTTTGGACCGCGTCCCATACGTGCTCGATGGGGTTGAGGTCAGGGGATTGTGCCGGCCAGGGTAAGATGTTAAATTGATGAGCATTGATAAACTCACTTACCTCTCTACGCTGTATGAGGCCGTGCATTGTCATGCATGAGAATGAAGTTTCTCCCAAAATCATTGGCATATGGTAACACGACAGGCTCAAGAATTAAATCACGATATGTGATTCCTGTTAGAAACCTTTCAAGAAAAACGAGATCGGTTTTTCGGCCTAACTGACTCCTCCCCAGACCATAACTGTTCCACCTTGATAAGGGTGCACTTCCTGAACATGATCCAACCGAATAAAATTTCCCGGTTTTCTCCATACCCTAAGCCTTCTCGAATCCGGATGAATTCCAAAGCGTGACTCATCCGTGAAGAGAACATTGGCCCATTGTTCATTCGACCACTTAACATGATCTTGAGCCCACAAATATTGTACCTCTCGATTTCCTCTCGTTAAGGGTTGAGCTCTCCAGGGGCGTCTGCTTCTTAAGTTGACCTCTCTTAATCTATTGCGAACAGTGTCAGGACTAACGGTTACATTATGTGTTTCCTGGAAAATTAAACTAAGCTCTGGTGCTGTAAGAGTCGGTCGGCGTCGAGCATTTAATTTTAAAAAATGATCTTGCTGAGGGGTAGTAATGCGATGTCGCCCTGTGTGCCTTTCAGCAACATCACCACTTTCACGGTAGCGTGCATTTAATCGCGATATTACACTTTGCGTTGTATTTAATGCTCTAGCTACGTATATTTGGCGCATTCCAGCTTCGAGCGTACCCATGGCCCTTAGCATTTCGTCTCTGTTAAGATGTCTACACCCCATATGTCGTTTAATACTAAACAGAGTTATTTGAATGAATTCTGGCCAGTTATCATAAAAACATAGCCAGTACAGGTTAAATTCGAACAATTGATGCTAGGCGCTTTTTATACATTTGACAAAAAATGCAATTTCACACTTTCAACACTTCTGCAAATATCCCAAATTTAGAAATAACTAGTGTGACTACTTCGTTTCAATCGAAGTAGAAAGAATCGGCCTACAAATATGTGGTTGTTTATTCAAAACATTTATTTTTAACTTTAATAAAATGATATCCCTAGATTTTTCCGGTGTTTGTATTTTCAATAACGGTATCCTTATCGGCTTGGCTGTCAATTAATCTATACTTATTAAGTAAAATTTTGTATGCTGCATCCTTCTTCACCCTATTATCATATTCTGGTGATTTAATTCGCCAAAGACACGGCTGATTTTCGTATGTGCTAATAAAATCTTACAATAATCCTCGATTGCTCCTTTTCAGATCGCTAGACATGATGGCGACGCGACGTACATGTCATTTGCGATCACAGACTGAACTAATTGTTTGTACAAGCTGAATACATGTGGTACACACGTACCGTTTCGCTTGCGCAAGCATAGCTTGTCCAAGCTTGCATGATTCAAATTGAATCAATCATCAAGCGGCTTGCACAATTAAAATGCTTGCGCAAATTTTCCCTACAGACGCTGCAGTTTGCTTGTACAAAAAGATTGTTCATGCATGCTTGTCAAGCTTGCAGTAGTGTGTGTAGCCACCTTTAGTATTTCTCAACAGATTAAGTTGATTATTTGAAAATTCCTATAAAACTGACATGGACAAATCATGATATGAATAGTACAAAAAATAGGATCCAAAACGAATTATTTCATCTAAAACTAGGGTAAAAGTCTGTACGATGAATATAGTGACTATCAAACGATGCGATCTGCATTCCATTGACTTTTTTCACGGTTAAATGACTCACGTTCTCAAAGAAACCTATATATATTTATATACAAGAACGATGATGTCATTGCAGCCGCCCGACTGAGGCTGAGGCCAGTCTAGAGCTCCCGGTTTGAAGAAAAAGAACTTAGAATTTTTGTTGCGAGGTCTAAACGGCCTTGTGTTCGTTCAGACTGCAAATAAATACATACATGGGTAAAGACAGATTGATAGATATTTATGTTATTTAACGTTAACTCTTTAATTCATTTAACATTTAATCTCATATACCGGGTGGTACATCGTTGTTGGTAACATCGGAAATCCCATTCAAATTTTTAAGTGTCTCGATATTGACTCCCCTGATGACTTTACAGCCATGTCGTACTTTTTTTGTCGTAGATTTTTTAAAGGTCTGTATACCGTGCTGCCAACTGCTACTTTTGGGTCGGCATTTACATGTGTGAAAGTAAATCGCATAGGGATCTTATTAAATCGGATAATTATATATATATTTCTAATTTTTGAAGATTCTGACTTTGACAAGAGAACATTATTTCTGTTATTTTTCGGCGGTTGTTCTTAGCAACCGCCATAGCAGCGCCAGATCGCGTACAACGGTCGCGACCCAAAACAAATTCGCGACCTAAAATTTTGACGGGCTTCCCAATTGGTACCTTGTTCTGTTTTAATTTAAAAATAGTTGCAGTTTTTTTTAAATTATTTAAAAGCAGCTTGTCTAAAATTCTTCAAATTTGGAACGTGTATTCAGCATAGGCAGAGCTTTAAAACCCTATTCACGACTTAGTTGTAAAATTAATAGGGGACTCAATATTGGGACAGCTCAAAATTTGCACGGGATTGTCTGAGATAAATTTATTTTATTTTTCAACATGTTTACTTACTTGCAAAGGAGGGTACCGTCTTTCAGTACTTCGTAAAAATTATCCATATCACCTGCGGTGTTGATATTATCCCCTGTCACCTTACTGATCCATTCTAGCGATTCAGAGGCCAGCTCCTCGCTATATTTGGCATTAACCTACAAAAGAAACGCATGTTCAGTATATCTTTATAAACTCGCCGCCCTAAAATTTTGACTAAGTTTGACTAAACTCCTTCCTTAATATCTTTATTGAAATTAAGCAACCAATAGTAAATAATTGATATGCTCGTTCATAATATGTTATCTATCCTCTCTATATTTACTTATGTCTATGCCAATGAGCTAAAAATCGATTATGTCCAAAAACAAATATTAGATAAAAAGACGGTTTTTATTCCAAATCACCTAATGATTCATCTGTAGAAAAGTCGTTAATTGGTTACATCAGCGTCTAAAAATTCTTTTTGCATAGTTTATTAGCGCTCGTTGATAATTATTCTCAACCGTTGTACCGCCGGTACCATGTGTTTGTCTGTCCGGTACTTTTGGAGATATTTTTCAAGCGATCCTTATACGGCATTGAGCATACATCGGACCAGTGGCGTATCTAGTATTTCGTAAAATATCACGTTTTCCTTTTTTTTACTTTTAACTTTTTATTATTTCTCACATTAAGGCTTTAAGCCACCCATACACGTACCGGTTATTTTGCCCGGTTTTGACAGAATAGAACTATTCAGTTAAAAGTTAAAAATGTCAGTTTGTTCGTTATCTGTCATTATTAGATAATTTAACTCCTTTATAAAAAAATATGATTTTAACAGATTAAAAAATTGTGATTTTAGCGCAATGCAAAACAGCTGTGCCACATATTAACGATTATTTCAATTGGGAATACATTTTTAACAAAAGGCAACAATGCATTCGAGGAAAAAAAACAAAGTCTGACAACGCCATAGCCCAGTTAAAGGTCCGAGGTCATGATGACGTTTATCAGCAAGATGAAGTAAGTGCCACATCTGCATAATACTTAATCTGTGGTAAGGAGTAGAATGTATAGGAGGGGGGTGTCAATATGACTCCTATTTGTGGGGCGCAACCAACATGTGTTTAACTGTTTTGAAGAATAATAACTTTTTTTCCCCACCTTATGAACTACTGATGGCGCTGAAATATACATTTCCGTGACTTTTTTTGCTTGGTAAAAATCGCTACGAGCAACCGTTCTCAAGATATTTAGAATGAAATAGTCAATACATGACATTATTGACAAAAAATAAACACGTTGATTAGATAAGATATTTCACTGGTCGTAATAAATTTGGGAAATTTTCGGTTTTGATTTAATGTTAAAATTTTTTTGCAAAAATGATGATAAAACAGGTATTTTACAATTCCCCCGGCCCCGCACCCCTTTGGCTAACCTGTAAATGTCAGCTTTGTCGAGATGGCGTTACGAAAATAGAACCGATTTATTACAAGGAACTTGGGCTTCTTTTTCGTTAGTATATTCTGGGGGCGCAACCAACATGTGTTTTAACTGTTTTGAAGAATAATAACTTTTTTTTTTCCGTACCTGTATAAAACTACTGAGTGATAAAATATACATTTCCGTGACTTTTTTCTCTTGGTAAAAATCGCTACGAGCAACCGTTCTCAAGATATTTAGAATGGAAATAGTCAATACATGACATTATTGACAAAAAATAAACACGTTGAGTAGATAAGTTATTTCACTGAAATAATAAATTTGGGAAATTTTTATTTTTTTAATTTAATCATAAATTTTTCTGCAAAAAATGATGATAAAACAGTTCCTGTTGAACTTTTGGCACTAAAACATTTCAAATTTATGATTTCAGTCTAATAACTATTTAGTCAACATGTTTAATTTATGTCAATGATGACAGGTATTGATAATTTCGATTCCAAATATCTCGAAAACCATTACTCGTAGCGATTTTTACTAAGAGACCTTTTTCACGTAAAAAACGTCGTAAATGTATATTTTTTTACTCAGTAGTTTTATACAGGCACGGACGAAGAGTTATTACTCTTCAAACCAGTTAAAACACATGTAGGCGGCGCCCTCTACTAGTAGGAGTCATATTGACATCAAAATTAAATTTCTCATGTCAAAAAACTTCCAGACACCAATTTTCATCGAAATATTGACGTTACTTCAGAAATTATTTGGAAAAAATCGAAATAAAATGAACTTCTACACCCTGTATCTCAAAAACTAAGCATTTTAAGACATACATTTATACGAACTTTTTTACTTATTTTCATCTGCAGAATATGCTGCCGAAGTTTCCGGAATACAGTTCGGACCACCCTGTATACAGGGTGTTTCAAAACAAACGCGAAAAACTTCAGGGGGTAATTCCTTGTTCAAAATAAAGGGTAGTTTGCTTCATAAACGTTGGGTCAAAAGTCAACCATTAGGGAGATATCGCGGTACAAAGATGGCGGAAAAATAATGTTCTTATTTTTTATCTTGAAAACGAAAAGAGATAGACTAATGAAATTTTATGGAAGCATTACTGTCATGAAAACACACTTTCAGGTCATTTTTTCACTTTTTTAAAATGAGTGGAAGGGATTGAAATAAACTACCCCTATCATTCTTGATAATGAAATTTAAAGAAAAATCTTATCAAACATATGCAAAAAAAATTAATTTTGATAGTTTAGTTTATTTAGAAACCTTTTTATCTCTTGTATTTTTTTTATAAAACTCACCGATTTGAAATTAAAAAATAAAATGTAAAGCATTACATGTCAGGACTAAAAATATTTTAGATTAAGAATCTAGTGATAATAATGATAATAATAATAATCTAGATAATAACGTATTGCAGTAGGGTAATGTCAAATAAAACAATATTAGAAACATCCTAAAAAGTGACAGCGGCCGACTAGATTTTTTCCTAAAAAAATTACAGCTGCCCACTAGATTCTTTATCTAAAAATGTTTTTTGTCCTGACATGTAATGCTTTACATTTTATTTTTTAATTTCAAATCAGTGAGTTTTATCAAAAAAACACAAGAGATAAAAAAGTTTCTAAATAAACTAAACTATCCAAATTAATTTTTTTGCATGTGTTTGATAAGATTTTTCTTTAAATTTCGTTAACAAGAATGATAGGGGTAGTTTATTTCAACCCCTTCCACTCATTTTAAAAAAGTGAAGAAATTACCAGAAAGTGTGTTTTCATAACAGTAATGCTTCCGTAAAATTTCATTAGTCTATCTCTTTTCGTTTTCAAGATAAAAAATAAAAACATTATTTTTCCGCCATCTTTGTACCGCGATATCTCCCTAATGGTTGACTTTTGACCCAACGTTTATAAAGCAAACTACCCTTTATTTTGAACAAGGAATCACCCCCTGAAGTTTTTCGCATTTGTTTTGAAACAGCCTGTATATCTATGAAAATATATTTAGAATCTGCTCTACAATTACCTCGTATCTGGAGAAAAAATCACAGATAAAAACCATCATACCGACCGCTTCAGAACACTACACCACCATATGCTTTTTATGTGTTATAGTTTTGGGACGACCCTGTATGAGCAAAGGCAATTAAGTTAATAATGCAGAACGGAATTCTAAGTTAATTTGTGTACATTAAACATCATAAAAGACTCTATATAGCTTTCATTAAGGGTGCGTCGTGGTAATTATACAGAGGGTTGTGCAGAGTTTTTAAGCATAAGGTTTTTGTCATAGAATTTTGCTATTTAAAAATTGACTTCATCGATGCAAAGAATGAATATCGCCCTCCATTTATTTAGGTAAAATATAGAGTTTCATAAAGTGGAGTTCTACAGAATACAAAAAATGTATTTTAATATACCTATACAATCGTTTATCATTATCTAGGGTTAAAAGGTTCGAGTTTTTGTCAATTTCCCTTGAAAGGCTTCCTTCTCGATATGCGATAACACTATAAAAGGTTAATTTACTAGAGAGGAAGCCATAAATAGCTTTAATTTAGTTCCGATTAGGGATGGTAACGATGTATCGATATCGACATTTAGTCATAATGCAGTTCATTTATTATCGTTTGAGAAGGAAAAAGGGACCCTAACAGTACAGCGTAATTGCCTAACAGTACACTCTTAAGCAGCTGCAGTACAGCCAGAAAAACTTGGCCCAAATATGACCTTAGAAATTTGGAAGAGCTCATAATTAAGTGGTGTAATGATATCGCCAGATAGGCCAGTGCAAATAATTTTGAATTTGCAAAAATTTTTAGAAAGCTGCGACCATCGAAAATAGTTAGCCCTAGTCACCCTTATTAACATACTAAAAGTCCCAATTTCTCCGATGTGTGCGTCATCAAAAAAAATTGGCCGCCATCTTGAATTTTGGTACTTTTTGGGAAAAAATGTAAATAACTTGAAAACTGTGCATTATAGCGAAAAATTTCAAGAGGGAAAAATTAAAGAGAATAAAAAACTCTATCAGAACCAATAAAGAATAGTTTATTATCCTAACGCAGTGACGTACAAAAATTTTTTGAAAATCGAGCAATTTTTAAAAGGAATCACCGAAATGCAAATTACTATTTTTTAAGCTTATTAACAAATAACATGGATATTTAGCATCAATTCAACTAAAATACAGTCCTTGTGACGTTTTCAAGAAATATTTATTGGTGGTTTAATAATATTTCAAAATTAAGAAAAACTGTCAAAGCTATCCTTTACTAAATACATGTGTACAATTGCCGTTTATTGATTCTGATAGAGTTTTTTATTCTCTTTAATTTTTCCCTCTTGAAATTTTTCGCTATAATGCACCGTTTTCGAGTTATTTACATTTTTTCCCAAAAAGTACAAAAATTCAAGATGGCGGCCGATTTTTTTTGATGACGCACACATCGGACAAATGGGGACTTTTAGTATGTTAATAAGGGTTACTAAGGCTAACTATTTTCAATGGTCCCAGCTTTCTAAAAATTTTTGCAATTTCAACATGGTGAATGTCATAACTGCACTGGGGTGAGACTAACGTCGATATACAGGGAAGTCCCAGGCCAAGCGTGCATTAGAAGTGTCTAGAGAACTACAATATCTAGATCGGAGATTTTTCGCACATCAATGCACAACAACTTTCTTATTTTAAATGAAATAAGATTTTTTCC